TCGGGGTTAGTGCAGGGACTCCTGGGTTCTGTCCCCGACTTGCTGTGTCACCTTATGTGAAGCAAATTTTACCTCTTTGATGTATGTGCACAGCTGCAGGCGACTTCACTGGGAACTGCTCACACCTCAGGGAAGAATCTGTCCCTCTGTGTTAAACAATAAGTGATGAGAGGTACAAGGAGTAGTGCCCATCTTCATAAAGCACTTGGACCCAGCACAGTGGGCCCTGGTGTGACCTGGGTGATACTGAAATACAAAGGACATGAACAGCGCTAGATTAAAAGGGGCAGTGTTTGGCATTTTCCTTTTTTCATAACTTTAATAATCCCCCAGCTCTCTTCATCCCTAGCTTTCAAGCGCTTTACAATGGAGGTCAGTATCCGTACCACCATTTTACAGATTGGGGGAGGGGGGGAACTGAGGCACAGAACGGGGCCGTGACTTGCCCAAGGTCACCCAGAAGTTCTGGGGCCGAGCTGGGGTGGGGGAGTAGCATATCTGCTCTTGCTCCTGGTCCTAGCCTCATGTCTTTCTCGCTCTCTAACCTGAGTGACGGCTACGGGGATGTAGTGGAAACCACTGGTCTCCTCTTCCAGAATCTGCTCAAATACTTAATTGCCATGACCTCCATTACACTAAAAATGAGACCTTTTAGAATCTGGCAGAGGTGGATTAATAACACAAGCAGTTGCTCAGGAATAAGGTTTTGCAACATGGTTTTAGGCTTTTACCTTTTGTGCCTATTTGGAGCAGTGATGATCAACTGGCAGGTTACTGTATAACCGAAATCATTCTATTATCTTCCTCCTTCCAATAGGGCTATGCCCAATTTTTCCTCCTGAAGTCTCCCCATCAGACTGAAGATATGTCTGTTGCTTCTGGTCTCAGTTTTGGACACTAGGATAAAGTGTGTGTGTGTGTGTGTGTCTGTCTGTCTGTCTGTCTGTCTGTCTGTCTGTCTGTCTGTCTCTCTGTCCCCCTGGTTTATTCCTGGATGGATTTGTGCAGTGCTCTGTATCACCCAAATTTCTGCTCCTGGGATCTGTGTCTGGGGAGAGTCTGCCAGTGCCTCGCTAGTAGTGCTTGCTCTGTTGTGGTACCGTGACCTGCTAGCATGAAGCCTCTGTGTAGGAATTTGTAGCAGGCTCATGACTCTTCCAGGGGCTTGCACTCTTGTAGGGAAAGCTGGATAAGTGACCCCCCGGCAGGCTCCGCTGAAACCTCAGCTGAGAGTAGCCAGAATCCTCCACTTACAGCGCAGGGCCTTTCCCCCTCGAGGTAGAGAGGGAGGAGGAAATTGATCCCTGTGTGTGGTGGTTTTTGTTTGTCTATCTCCCTCCCTCTTTCTCCCCCCAACTGATTTTTGCACATGGAGAATTCAAAGGTCAGCCTGGGCCCGGTCAAGCCGAGTGCTGGGCACTTCACAGAATTGGATCCCTTTTTATCAGCTCTCTGCAGTGGGTGGTGGAAATACCAATTCTTAGGCTGCCTTGCAAGCTTAATAAACTGAGAGCAAATGGCTTCTTTGCAGCCTTTTAAAATAAATAACTTACTGTGCTCCCTGTGTCTTCATATGCGTTCTGAAAACTGACTCGTGCCATGAGGGCTGGTTTAGTGCTGGATGGGGATGGTAAGAGACAGATCTGAAAAGGTTTATTGTAGCTCTATTTAAATCTCTTCTTCAATAATCCCGCTGTTTCTGAGAGCAACCACTTAACTGCATGTGCTACGGGTGCTGAAATAAGACCAAATGCATCTCTTTACCTGTGTCACTGCACATCTTGCTAGCAGTTTTAAATAAGCGATCTGCTGACTTGCTTTTAATGGCACCTCGCTAGCTGAATCTCTTCCAACATACTTTTTCTTTAGTGTTGCCCATTGATGCCAGCTGATTAGTCTTGCCACCAAAGAGTCTGGACAATTCCTGGCTGAAAATACCTTTTTGGGTTATGAGGCTGCCTACATCACACAAGCACCTAGAGGTCCAGATTGCAATAATCAGGGTCCCATTGTGCCAGGTGCCGCATAGATGGGGTGCGGGAGTTCCTGTCCCGAAGAATTCACAGTGCAAACTGGTGGAAGGAAGAAAGTTGCAATCCCATTTTACAGATCAAACCGAGGCCCAAGGCAAAATGACTTGCCCAAGACCACAAAGAGTCGGTGGCAGCCGGGATTAGATTGTGACCTCTTTGGGGCAAGGACTAATTTGTTCAGTTTGCACAGCTCCTGGGTCCTGGCCCACTGTGACTGAGGCTCCTAGGGGCTACAAGAATAACTCTGCTTCCGCTCTGCCTCCGGTGGGGAGGAGATGCTGTGAGGTCCAAACTCATGCCTCTTCAAAGGCTCTGTATTCAGGGCGGGCGCTTCCATTTAGGTGACTTAGGCGGTTGCCTAGGGCACCAGGATTTGGGGGGTGGCAATTTGGCAGTGGGGGGTCCTTCAGCAGCAATTCTGTGGCGGGTCCTTCACTTGCTCCGGGACCCGCCGCCGAAGTGCCCCAAAGACCGGGAGCGTGGAAGGACACACACACACACACACACACACCCCCGCCGCAGAACTGCCGCCGCCGACTGGCAGCGCGGAAGGACCCCTGCGTAGGGTGCCAAAAACCCTGGCGCCGCACCGGTCTGTATTTCATACGCCAGCCAGTTTGAAAGGCTCATAAGCAAGCAGAGGGCCTGGGAATCCTTTCAAAAATCAAACGGGGATGGGGGCCAGATGATAGCTATCCATAATCTGGGGGAGAGGTGAGAAAGCGGATTCTCAAAAATAGCTGGGCTGGAAACACAAACCAGTTGTGATTTAAAAAGTCTCCTTTCTGGATCTCCATCACGCACTAATTAGGATAACTGAAGGTTGCTACCTGGTTGCTGAACAGCCAGTGCCTATTGGCTGACTCGTCTCCTGAGCTGTGGTCTTGAGGCAACTTATTTACAGAAAAATCTAGCACCGTTGTGGCTGGAAGGTGGCAGGACTTTGCATTAGAGTGGAAATCCTTCCTGACTTCAAAGCACTAGAAAACCTCCTCCCTTCCCCCAAACAGTCACACAGTAATCGGCAGGCTCACTTCTGTCCAGAGTGTCCCTGCCGCAGACCTGCAGGAAAACCAGGAGAGAGGTCGTGTGCTGCTTAAAGAAACCAACTCAGTGCTGCCCTACAGGGAGGCTGCCTGAATGCAGGCCTTGCAAGTAGGGATCTGACACTGCTTCCTGGGGAAGACGGGGATTTTTATGTTATGCAAACTGTGCTACATGCCATGGGCCTTTGGAAAAATCCCTCATTGTCCGTATTAGTTAAAGACGCCTGTATTAGATCGTTTTGCTAATCCATTGCTTCCGTAGCACTGAGGAAGGATGGTCAGCAGTTAGGGCTCTTTCCTAGCACTTGGGAGATCTGGGTTCAAGTCCCTGCTCCACCATAGACTGGGTGACCTTGGTCAAGTCACTTAGCCTCTTTGTACCTCAATTCCCCATCTGTACATTGGGGATAATGGCACTGCCCTACCTGCCGGGGGGCAGGGTAGTGAGGATAAATACACTACTGACTTTGAGGTGCTCAGATACTATGGTCATGAGGGCCAGATAAGAACTTTCAGGTTGTCCTTGGCCATATTTACCTCTCAGAAATGTAATCTCTGAAGTGCCATAATTATTGTGGTAGCAGCCCCTATCCTGTATCGGAGCCCTCTGGAGTTAAGGACTCAGAAGCACAAGAGATGGCTTTCAAGTGCCTGGCTCCCAAGGCATCCTAGCGAGCGGTGAAATGCTGTTGCAGTGCCCTGGAAATGAAACAGGACCCCATTGTGCTTGGTGCTGTACAGGCTGCTGCAGTCTCTCTACCCTTGTACCAAATGTATAAGCGACACTGCTTGTGAAGTGATCCTGTGTAAACCTGTATACAGAGGGGTAAGGTGGCTTTAGGGCCTCACTGCCTGAGATTCCCCCCCCCCACTCCCTATGTTCCACCACAACAGCTAATACAACCTACCCTGGTTGCTTTTAACAATTTGTGTGTGTGGGGGGGGGGGAAGAGATGAGGATCCCAATTGGAAACATCTTAAAGGGGCCCAGATTGTTACAGTACAGAGCACCTGTCCTCTAAGGTGCTTGCCTAAAATCACTGGTCACTCTGATGACTTAGGGCTGGTTAACACTAGACTAGAAAATGTACATCAACTTAGCTGTGTCACTCAGGGGTGTGAAAAATCCAGCTAAGCCGACCGAAGTCCCTGCGTGGACAGTGCTAGTAGTAGACTTAGCTACTGCTTCTCGAGGACATGGAGAGTCTCCCATCAGGGTGGTGGCTTCCATATAGGGTCACACTTGGGGTCTTTGGCACACCCTGAAGACTTTTCCTATAAGCCTCAGGTGTCGATTCAAATGTAAGCAGCAGAGCTTTTGTGAACTGTTCGTAGTCCCCAGTATCAACTCTGTCCATCCGGCTGCACGCCTCTATGGCTTTGGGACGAATACCAGGTGAAACAGCGGGGCCGGTCCGCAGCATCAGCCAGGTTCAAACGGCAAGACTGCTCAAAGGCAGTGAGGCAGGCGTCTAGATCTCCCCTCCCCTCTTAAACTGGGGCAGCAACTTGGTATCGAGGTACCCGAGAGCAGAATCCTGCTTTTCCTCCAGCTGGAAGGGCAGTCTCCAAGCTGCTCTGCAGATCATGGGTAGAAGAAGCCTTGGAGAGCTCAAGCAGGTAACTTGCTTGGCTATCAGACAGCTGGAGTGGAGGCAAATCAAACACGCCTACAGACGCCCTGACTGCCAGTCAGTTACATGCTGGAGGGAATTCAGGCAGGCTGTCATTCCCATTATGTGCTGCCGGCCGCCTGCCCGTGCCTACGGTGAAGCAGTCCATGTAGCTTATGGTAATTGCTCATCTAACATATTGCAAAGGGAATTGATGCAGTGAGGCTCCCTGCATCCAATGGGGAGCAAAAGACTCTCTTCAGGCAGGCTGCCTCTGGGACTGAGGAGTGTTACATCACTTTTGTGCTCAATATGTCACTGCTAATATCTGTTCCCACCAAATGGGAGTCTTACGGCTACCGAAGTGCCAGGGACGCTAGCCTAGATCGAACACCGGTGACCGGGTGCAGTGGCGTTCTTATTCAGCTCTCTTGTGGATGTCGGGCTTCTGCTTTCGTACCCAACAGAGGTGCTAACCTTCAATTGCAGTGAGTATGCAGCACTCTGCTTGTGTTTCTTAGGCAAGCAAGCCAGAAGAGGTGGGTAGTCTGGTCTTCAGAGTTTTCAACACATGCACAATTTCTCTAAGATCGTATCCTGCTTTTCTCCTCTACTTCCCCATGTGAGCATGTGCATGTTGTATTTGCTGATGCTGCGTATTTTTTAATAGGACCCCGAGACTGTAGGCGCTTGAGCTGTGCGGCTGATCAGGATTTTGATCGGAGAAGGAGAATAGGATGGGTTGCATCTGGAATGCTGGTGACCAGAAAGATGGCATGTACTCCGTGTTAGGATAACAGGCTTTCATTGTGTGTGAAACTGCTCTGTCCTAGAAGTGCAGCTAGGTTCAGCGGTGCTAGCGTGTGGCTTTTTGTTTGTCATATGCTTTTTTGGTTTAGTGTCTCATAACATTTTAACAATTGCATGTTTGTCTGCTTCTGGAGAGTGGGGGAGATTTTGAAGGAAAAATGCTGAGTACAAACTTCAGAAAGCTATTAATCTCCAGCCTGGCTAATCCTCGCATTGCTAGTGGGACAAGTAAAAAGGAATCTTCAGTGTTGTCTAAGGTTCTGCAGTAAAATTCCCCCTCCCTCTCCCCGAGATATTGGAAACAACAACAAAATCTTGCACTTGAGAAATGTGTGTTAATTTTATTTCTTTAAGGGGTGTCTGTTGGAGAGAGAGAGAGGGAGTTGAGACTCCTGGGTTCTATTCATGACTCTGTTGCTGATTTGCTGCGTCCTTGGCAAGTCACATAGGCCCCAATCCTAGAAGGATGTCAGCATGGGGGAAGACCGATTTGTGGAGCCCTGCTTCCTTCACGGATTTGCTTAGGCCCTGGTCTGGTGATGGATCACTCTCTGCTTTGAGCACCTTGCATTTCTATGGTCCTGCTTTTAAAGGGCCCTGCCCAGGGCGCCTTCCCCTTGTACGTGTTTTTCAGTAATAAACGGAGACACGTACTAGGCCTGCCAAACTTTAATCTCTTGAACGCTGCTCCTTATCTCCAGTGTAAATAAACTCTGTATCGACAAAGCATTCCAGATTTGAATAGGATTAAGAGAGAGCCTGTCTGCTCTGGTGGGTTGTGCTCTGCTTTCATGAAGTTAATCACATGCCTTTATAGTGGTTGAGCTCTTTAGCTTAACAGAGGAAGTTTAGGGGTGACTTGATTAGCCTATGTAATGGGGTTCAGTCACCACTGTGGTGCCTCCTGGCTATCTTGGGAATTGGCAGCAAGACTCCACTTGAAGAGAGTGCTGAGCTAGGACTCCTGCTCTAGGACCCAGGCCTCTCCAAGGACCGCGGCGTCCTCTTCAACGACGCAGCCCTCTGGCCGTGCCACACGCTGTGCTCCCCTCTTCCGGGGGACCTGCAGTCCGCTGTTAAGCCACTTCCTTTAGTTGCTACTGCAGCTAATTGGCCACTTCCTCATGGCCCCAGTATCCTCTTTGCCCTTGTCTCAGGGCTTCAGCCTGCAAACCCCAGCAGCCAGCCAGGAGCTGTCTCTCGCTCCCCCGGTCCCTGCTAGCGGCACTGCTCTGTCCAGAGTGCTGGCAGTTGTCTCAGCCCTCCCAGGGACACAGTCCTTCCTCCCTGGGCTCCTAGCAGAGAACTCCCCTCCTCTGCCCTGCAGCTCCCTTTTTATATGGCCCTACTTGGCTGCTCCCCCTCGGCCCTTCTCTGATTGGCTGCCACCTATGCAGCCTCCCTAGGGCTCTATTAACCCCTTAGAGCCCAGTGTGAGGCAGGCGCCCCACCACAGCCTACAAGTACCTACATGGGGAAAAAATATTTAATAGTGGGCTCTTCAATCTAGCAGAGAAAGGTCGAACACGAGCCAATAGCTGGAATCTGATGCTAGACAAAAACCCACACACCTTACTTCCTGGCTGAGTTTAACAGTGAGAGTAACCATTGGAACAATTTACTAAGGGTCATGGTGGATTCTCCATCGTGGGCAATTTTTAAATCCAGATTGGATGTTCCTCTAACAGATCTGGCCTGTGTGATCCAGGAGGGCCGATTGGATGATCACAACGGTCCCTTCTGGCCTTGAAATCTATAAGCCCAGTTTCCTCAAGCGCAGCCTTGCCAGCAGTTGCTCCTGGTTCCTTACCTAACCCCAGCTGGGCCAGTGGCATGAGAGTGTTTTTCCTCTTTCCCCTGCAGGAGGCTGGAGTGCTTTTAACCCCTGGGGATGGAGCGGCATGTGAATGGAGCTATGGCCGAGAAGCCAAACCCCGTGGACTACGGGGTTCAGATCCGATTCATAGATGACCTGAAGGAAATGAAGAAGCCCCAGAAGATCAGGCCCAAGCACTCCAAGGCAGGCTCCTACGGGGTCGCGGTGAGGGTCCAGGGCATCGACGGGCAGCCCTTTGTGGTCCTGAACAGCGGGGCGAAAGGAGAGGACTCCTTCGGGGTGCAGATCAGAAGCGAGAGTAAATACGGGAACCTCGCTCCCAGCCAGTGGCCTGAGCAGCTGCCCCCTAACTCCCTCAGGGAAGGCCCGGGCTCCATCAGCTCTGATTCTGAGCTGCCGGAAAGCCGGTACGTGGCCAGACATTCCCAGTATAACTCCCAGTACAGCACCTCTGACGAGGAGCTGGGCTCCCAGCACTACCCGAGGGAGAGGAGGCCTGTCAGAGCTGAGGCAGCTCATTCCTACCGCAGGGATGGCTCCTCGTCCCCTCAGGACAGCTCCAGACAGCTGCCTCCCCAGAGGCCTTTTGGGGAGGAGCTGAGGAGGACTCAATCTCACAGCTCTCTGTTAAGCCCCAATTCAGAGGAGGGCTATGGCCCAAGCCCTCTCAGCATGCAGAGTGGGGGCACGTACCGATCCCAGGCTCCAGCCAGTGCCAAGAGCAGCAGCACACTGGACATTGCAGGCAGGAAAAGGACTGACCCCGGCCAGGAATCCCGTGCAGCTACTGGACGAAGGTTTGTAGGCAAGCAGCCATCGCCAGACCCAGAGTCCTCCGGGCCTCGGCAGCCAGCTGACCAAAGTGACATCGACACGAAGCCGCTGTCCTCGGTGGATTCCCTGATCACGAAGTTCGATGGGAAGGTTCAGCAGAGGGGCCGAGCCACCAGGAGAAGCCGGATCTCCCCAGAGGAGAGGAAGCGGTCGCAGAGTCTCGACGGCAGGGTGTCCTACCACGACACGGCCGATGCCAGAGAGCTGAGCTCCGACCAGCTCCAGGATCGCCTCAGGGAAGGGCCGAAGCACCTGGCCGCCAAACAGCCTGGTGCAGCCAACGCGCCTCGCACCGGCAGCCTGAACCGAGTGCTCCGGGAAGATCTGAAGAAAAACTCAGTCAAGGCCCAGCTGACGCGAGACTGGAGCCATAAAAGCTTGGAGGAGCCTGTCGTTGAGCAGCAGCAAAGTCAAGTGCAATCAGAACTGCAGGTAACTCTTCGTTCGGGACTCGGGCCTGCCCGGGGCTCGGCATGCTGGCCGTGCTTTGGCACCTATTTCACTCTAAGCACGGGAGTAGCGATGTGCTTGACTTCTTGACAGCCCAGCAAACCACGTGCTATCAGTGCTCAGGGTGGAGCCTTAATCCTAGAAGATCAGGGTTGGAAGGACCTCAGGAGGTCATCTAGTCCAACCCCCTGCTCAAAGCAGGACCAATCCCCAGACAGATTTTTACCCCAGTTCCCTAAATGGCCCCCTCAAGGATTGAACTCATAACCCTGGGTTTAGTAGGCCAATGCTCAAACCACTAAGCTGTCCCTCCCCCCAATTAGCTCTCTGGGCCTCAAGGTCACTGCCCAGGTGATGCCATTGGTCCCTGATCTCAGGATATGTCTCCACTGCAGTCGGGAGGTGTGATGGCAGTAAGGGTAGCAGTGAACCGCCGCTGCCCAGGCTAGCCCCGCCTGGCACCCTGGGGACAGAGTCAAGCCACCCCTGCTCGTGCGGCTGAGACGTTGCTGCTGCGGTCGCAGCGTAGACGTGCCCTGCCAGACGCTGGTGGTGGTTGCAGCAGTGTGATTATTCAACCAGAAATCGGCATGCCCCATCTTCTGCTTCTTCCTACCCCAGTGAGGAAGCTGCTCCTCCTCCTTACGGAATGCTGTTCCCAGCTGGCCTATTTTCCAAGTGCTCTAGGCACTAGAGTTCAATGCCGGGAGCGTAGGTCCCGAGGTGCATTTGACTCGGAAGTTCGCTAGGCCCTTAAGGGCTGCAACCTAACTGCCATCTAGTTACATCAGATCCCAGCCACGTTTGCTTGCAAAACTGCTGCTGTTGTCCTCTCCTAACATAGGGAGCATGGTGACAGCGTCCTAGGTGGATGCAGATCTTCCTGCTTCAGGGCATAAGCCAAGCACTCATTGCCTGGGCTTAAGAAGAAACTTACCCTGTGGGTAGGTTGTTCCATAAAGAGAGTGGTGGGGTTGGCTTGCGCCTTGCTCTGAATCAGCTGGTTCTGGCTGCCATCAGACGGGATACCGGGCTAGATGGGCCCATTGGTCTGATCCCGTCTGGCAAGTCCTACGGCTGTGCAGTGAGCATCTGGTGACGCTTGTCCTGTCTCATTAGCAGCTTAAGTCCACTCCAGACCTTCTGAAAGACCAGCAGGAAGTCTCTCCACCTGGGAGCAGCGAGTACACCAAGGAACTGATCTACAGTATCCTGAAGGATGGGTGAGTGTTGGGCCGAGCGCTCTTGGGTCCGGTGTTAGACAGCGTCTGATGTGCAGCTTGCCCTGTTGGAGCAGGGGGGACTGGAGGCATTGAGTGCTTCGCTGCCATGAACTACGGGTGACGACGTGCGGGAGGGAATATCTTTTATTGGTCCAACTTCTGTTGGTGGGAGGCACACGCTTTGATGCTTACAGCTCTCACCAACAGAAGTTGGTCTAATAAGAGATTCCCTTGCCTCACCTTGTTTCTCTCATATCCTGGGACCAACATGGCTCCAACAACACTGCATAAACTCACTTTAGTGAAAAAGGTTTCTGAAACAATACAAAGGAAGTGCTGCATCATCTCGGGGGTGAGATCAGGGCTGACCAGAGGCAGGGGATAAAAGGGGGCACAATTGTACTGGGGCCCTGAGCTCAGGGCCCTTCTCCCCAAAACATCTGTGTAAATAAAGTGAAATGGGAGGAGGTGGGGGCCCCAGCAAACATGATTTATCAGGGACCCACATTTCTCTCAAAGGGGCGGTGGTTCTCAAATGAACTCTGCCCCATAGCTCTCGCTAGGGAAATGTGCCCCACAGCTCTCGCTATGCAAATCTATTCTAAACAGGAGCCTAGCTATCGAGTCTGTTACACAGGAGCTCAGACGAGCTGATCACAATGGGCCCTTCTGGCTTGGAATCAGAGTCTAGAAAATCTGGCCCCAGATGTGCAGGAAAATTGGTCCTTTAAATGAAACAAAACTCTGACCTTTAAATCTAGCCTTGGGATAGGAGTCTAGTGCCCTGGGCATCTTGTGGGAGTGTATGCTTCAGAACCCTTGAACTACAGCTTAGCCCACGAACTAACAACGGTAAGCCTCTTGGCTAAGCGGTAGCGACTCTAGAAAGGTGCAAATTGGCAACCTTGGAGCCGACAAAGGGAATTAATTCCTAGCGTAGTCGCCTTCTGTTTTAAATAATCCTGTGGAGGTAGATAGTGTCTGTTGGGTGGGAGTACAGGGCAAATGAGGCAGCTGATCCGCTGAACTTAATCACTAAAAGGATTCTCTACGGGAAAGCGAGGGTTTAAAGACAACCTCTCTTCTTCCCCTTTCCCCGCCTTGTGGACACTTGACTGAAACACTCACTTTCAGATTTTCACTCCCCTGGCTTCTTGTAAAGAGGGACTTACCCCTTTACCTTCAATTCATACAGTATGGGCCTCAAACTGCGGGGAGCAGAGAACAGAACTTTCCTCTAACTTGCAGAGATGCTCATCTGAAGTGTTACCTGCAACAACATTAAGTTAAAAATTCCGGACAGAAGTGTGTATGTCTCTTAAGTACTTACCTGGTCCCTGTTACCAAAGTACCTGAGCACTTCACAATCTTTAATGTATTTCATCCCCTCAATGCCCCTATGAGGCAGTGAAGAGCAATCATCTCCCTTGTTCATATGGGGAAACCGAGGCACGGAGGGGTTAAGTAAATTGCCCAAGGTCACACAGGTCCCGTGGCAGAGCCGGGATTCAAACCAGAGTCATAAGCGAGTGCCTTAAACACTGCTCTGCTTCTCCCCCCCGGTGGCTATGTCCCTTTTTAACCTGAATGATTTTCTTTGGTATTTGCTTGTTTCTTTTTCAGGAGCAAAGAAAGTGAAAGCTCTCTGAAGAGAAAAACCAACCTGATGTTTGAGAAGATCCAAGCACTCGCTGTAAGTCTCCATACCAGCCTCCCCTTACTTTGCAGAGAGTGACATTCACTCCTGGACAAAGTCCAGTGCAAAAGCCCTGTGAGATTTGTGTGGCACCCAGCTCTCCTCAGAAAGGTGAATTTTTCACCCCCCATATTATCAAGCCCGGGTGGTGCTGATTGGCCAGGATGACTGCCCTCTCTTGGTGTACATCTGCACTGCAGCTGGAAGTGCGATTCCCTGGTTGGAGAGACGTACACCCGCTAGCTCTGATCAAGTTAGTGCACTAAAAATAGCAGCATGCCAGGGCGGCGGGAGAGGCTAACCGTCCTCCTACTTAGCTACTGTTTCACATGGGATTGTTCTCTGGGCAACTTGCATTGCTATGGTAACACTGCTATTTTTAGTGCACTAACATCAGTCGAAGCTAGCCCAGGAATGTTGACCCGAGATATAAAATCATGACTGGTGTAGAAAAAGTAGATAAGGAAGAGTTGTTTACTACTTCTCATAACACAAGAACTAGGGGCCACCCAATGAAATTAATAGGCAGCAGGTTTAAAACAAATAAAAGGAAGTATTTTCTTCACACAATGCACAGTCAACCTGTGGAACTCCTTGCCAGAGGATGTGAAGGCCAAGACCATAACAGGGTTAAAAAAAGAACTAGATAAATTCATGGAGGATAGGTCCATCAATGGCTATTAGCCAGGATGGGCAGGGATGGTGTCCCTAGCCTCTGTTTGCCAGAAGCTGGGAATGAGCGATGGGGGATGGATCATTTGATGATTCCCTGTTCTGTTCATTCCCTCTGGGGCACCTGGCCCTGGCCACTGTCGGAAGACGGGGCGAGACGGACCTTTGGTCTGACCCAGTAGGGCCATTCTTACAATCTTTTATGAGCTGGAAACTTACAGCTGCAGTGTAGACATTCTCCTCTTCTCCTGACCAGCACCAATGGGCTGAGCGTCTCCGTTAAGCCTTTTAGTTCATCGCAACAATGCAAATCTATAGCAGGAAAGGGCCTTCCCCAAAGTTTAGCCCTTCTGAGTTGTTTCAGCTCAATGCATCCTGCTGAAAGATACCCCCCCCCCCCCCGCCACACCCAGTTCTGGGGAGAACTGGGGAAATCGCAGTCTGCTTATAGCTTCATGCAGTGTGTCGCCCACCTGTGGAACGCCCTGTTCCAGGAGGGAGCTGTACTATGTCCAGATTTCTGCAAATATTCATGCCCATGCATGTGAAGATAACAAGGAGAGTCCAATCTCGTACTTGAGGTTTTAACTTGGCTGCCTGTGGCAGGGGGTCAGGAAGGATGCTTTTCTCCCCCCCGCCCCAGCCTCCCAATACGCAGCATGGTCAGATGCATTGTGGGCTTTTCAGCGATTGGCCCCAGCTGGAGGTTGGATTCCAGGCTTGACACGTCGGCGATCTGACAAATGCTTTGCTCTGTAGGGCTCAATATTTTTACCCTTTCTGAACTGCAACCGTAAGCAGTTTAAAGAAAGAATGAAAGTTTTGGGGCTGGGATTCTGTGTATGTGTGTTTACATGATCCCATTAGCTGGAAGAGATCAGTTTCTCCTGTGGCCCTGGAATTGGTTGTTTGTTTTGTTTTGTCACCTTCTCCAGGGAAGCAGACAGAAATGACTCTCTTTAATACCTAGAATTATCTGTGTATGAAAGCAACATGGCTTCCTTTCAGGAATCTGCTCTGACGCTGTTGGAGATGTTAAGGGAGAGTGCATTTCCCGTTTAATATTCTATATTAAAAGATCTGAACCCATTTTGCCGACTCCACCGTTATCGCAGCTCGTCTGGTGCTAGCTGCTGCGTGCTGTGCTCGGAGCTTGCCTGACGTGACAGCGGTCTTGATTAAAACTGGCATTTCCGAGCCTCCTGCTTGAGGCCCAACATACCTCTGGCAGGACTCGGAGCCATATCTTTTGATGTTGGCATCAGAGGGCTGCTTGCTAGTCTCAGGTGTTTAAAAAAAAAAAATTGCTGCTGTGAATGAGACTGGCATTTTCCTCCCTTAACTTAAGGGAAGTTTAAAATTGGTGGCCCGAACTACTTGAGCATTGAGGGAGAAGGACGGAGAACACTGGACTGGCACTCAGGAGATCTTGGTTCCATTCCTGGCGGAGCTGGGACTTGACCCCAGGGCTCCAGAGTCCCATCTTAACCACAAGCCCGTCCTTCCTCTCCAGTAATTGACTTCAGGCAGCATCTCCAGGGTGCTTGTGTTACACAAAGAGGGGGCTCTGTCTGACAGGTGGTGCCTCCTGAGGACGCGAGAGCATCTGTTTCCCAGAACAGTGAGCTGAAGAGGAAGGTGGAGGAGCTGCAGCGGAAACTAGATGAAGAGACCAAGGTGACGCCAGTACCTGGTCAGCTAGAGGCACTGGACAGTAAACTCCTGCTTTGCTGGGCGGGTAGTGGGAGGCTGCCAGCCCTATGGAGCTGCCACCCTTCCACTGCCTTGGGTGGGGGTGGGCTGCAGGGGGGCCTGGGCTCTGGGCTGTCTCCATACACCCCAGCATGGAGTGGGGAGGTTTCGGGGGGAGACTCGGCCAGTGACCCTGTAATTATACTGGTCCAAGGGCTGTAAGTACTGTGTAGAGGTCTCACCCTTTACTCCTGGACTGGAATATCAGCTGTAGGGCTGCCTATGGGTTGTGTTCTCTCTGCCTACCCCTAACCAGTTCCCTGCACAAACTCATCCCCTTTTTACCCCCTTCCCTCCCCCTGAATTAGGAGTGAGGTGCCTGATCCCCTTAGGACCAGATGCTCAGCTGGCCCAGTTCCGGTGAAGTCAGTGGGCTGGCTTACGCCAGCTCGGGATCTGTTTGCGGGATGCCACGAGAAACCTTCTCTGAAGCTAGCTGGTGGCAGCGTCCCTTTAAATCCTAGCCCCTCCCTCTTCCGTGGCCGCTAACGCTCTATTCTCCCCTCTCCCAGCTCCGCCAGAAAGCAGAGCAGGCCAGGAGCGGTGCTGCTCGGAACGTGGAGAGCCGGCTGGAGGAGGCGCAGGACGAGTGCAGGCGCCTTCAGGGGGCCTTGGAGAAGACGACCCAGGAGCTGAAAAGCCGCTTGCAAGAGTAGGAGCTGTTTCTTGTGTCTGGGGTGGGCTACGCGGGTCCTGGCAGAGCGCTAACGATCCTCGTGCTGGATACCGTGCTCGCCCTCATTAACAAGCCCTTTCCACCCGCTGATTTAGGCTACGCGGGTCCTGGCAGAGCGCTAACGATCCTCGTGCTGGATACCGTGCTCGCCCTCATTAACAAGCCCTTTCCACCCGCTGAGTTAGGCTGCAGGCATCCCTGTGTTATAGAGAAACTGAGGCACAGAGGAGGAAGTGACCTGCCTTATCTAGCTGATCCCAACTGCCTGAAGGCCATTAATGGCTTTGTCCTCTTGAGGTACTTTACCCCACTTGAGGTATTATCCCCATTGTACAGCTGGAGAACTGAGGCACAGGGTAGATGGAATGACTTGCCCAAGGTCCCACAGGGAGTCTGTGGCCATGGCCAGGAATTGAACTCCGGTCTCCTGACGCCCAACCCAGAGCCCTACCCACTAGGCCACCTGGCCCCTGAGGGGGATCACAGCAAGCCGGTGTCTGGGCCAGAATTGTATCTGGGGCTCTGGCTGTACTGTGCTGAGACCAGGATCCGCCTGGCTGGCTCTGAACAGGCTTGCATGGTCTCCTCTAGGCTGATGGAAGTGAAAGTTGCCAGAGAGCAGGCAGAAGACAAACTGGGAGATGTGGAAGAGCAGCTAATGGGGATGCACGAGGAGCTGGACAGGCTGCGGAAAACCTCGGTGGACTCTGCAGACCGAGACGAGCTCATGAAGGTACGTGACTCTCGCCGCCTGATCGCGCGGCTTGGATCCTGAGTGCGCCGTGGGCCCGGTTCTCAGCCGGGGTAAATGGATGAGGCTGTTGAAGCCGGCGGTGCTGTGCTGAATTACAGCACTGGGGGAGCAGGGCCTCCCCCTGAATCAGCGTTTCAACAATAATCCCGAGCGCCCTTCCAGTGCGGAGGAGTGAGGTCAGTCTCTTTATCCCTACTGAGCAGATGGGAAAACAGAGGCGCAGTAACTTGCCCAAGGTCACCCTGCAGGCTAGTGGCAGAGCTGGGAATGGAACCCACGTTGCCAGAGTCCCAGTCCAGTGCTCTATCCACTAGGCAAGATTGCCTCTCTACAGCACTGCTAGAGATGTATTGCATAGCTCCAGGTGGTGAAAGCATCTCTGTCCCTGCCATCCTCTCAGGAGCTGCTGGAAACCAGAGAGGAGCTGGAGGAGATCCTCAACGCCAAACAGAAGCAAGAAGAACATCTGCGGCAGCGGGAGCGGGAGCTGACGGCGCTGAAAGGAGCCCTGAAGGAGGAGGTGGCGAATCACGACAAGGAGCTGGACCGAGTGACACAGCAGTACCAGAGCGACATGGACCAGCTGAGGCGAAACATGGAGGACGTGTCTCAGGTAAAGCCACAGACGCGTGAAATGGAAGCATAAAGCGAACACGTTGGGGGAACGGCTGGCGTCTGGTAGGAGATTAAGGCTTGTCTTACGGACTGGATTTATAAACAATGGAAAATCATAGCAGTGGCCTGCTTCCCTTAAATGCCCTCCCCCGAGTTATCTTTCGGTTGGCTACGACCTTTGCTTCCTGTCCTAAAGTATCCTAGGGAGCAGTGTGGCCATGGGCGCTGCACGTCCCTGCTCAGCGACGGTGACACTCTGGGCTATACCAGAAAGTTGCACCAGTTTTAACTTGGGGTGTGATCTCTCTTAAACAGCTTTCTAGCTGGTTCAGAAAGCTCCGTGGATGCTCATTTTGGTCAGAACCTGGTTTATTTCTGCTCCGCACAGCTGACCAGAATCCGCGTCCATGCAGCCTTCAGTGATTTAACGAAAGCTGGTTTAAAAGAGGTCACAGCTTCACTTAAACTGGTGCAACGTCTCAGATGATGCCTTGGTCGGCGAAAGGAGGCACTGTACTTAGCGCTCCTCCTCCCCCAGCACTGAACTTCTGACTCCGCTGACCAAGCGCTACATGTGGGTGCTCAAATCACTTGCTTAAATGATAGCTCGAATACGTCTCTCCGTGGTGCTGAATTCTGCTGTTACGCTAGTATCCAGTTGGAGGAGCTCCCTAGATTTTAGAGAAGCTGCTGCAGATGACCCTGGTGTAATGAAGGACAGGATCTAGGCTGGGTGTGCATTGGAAGCATAGGCGCCGACTTCCCTTCTTTCCTGTGGGTGCTCGACTTCCCCTGTGCCCCCGGCCCCGCCCCCACTCCACCCTTTCCATGAGGCCCCGCCTCTTCCCACCCCTTCCCCGTCCCCATTCCAACCCCTTCCCCAAAATCCCTGACCCAATTCTGCCCCCTCCCTGCCAATATTCCGGCTCCGCCTCCTCCCCTGAGCGCACCATGTTCCCGTTCCTACCCCCCTCCTGGAGCATGCTAACGCTGCCAAACAGCTGTTTGGTGGCAGCCAGGTGGGAAGCGCTGGGAGATAGGCGGAGCAGCAGGCATGTGGCGCGCTCAGAGGAGGAGGAGGAGGAGGTGGGGCAGAGGGTGAGGGGAGCTTGCCTGCTGGTGGGTGCAGAGCACCCACTAATTTTTCCCCATGGGTGCTCCAGCCCCGGAGCACCCACAGGGTTGGCGCCTATGATCGGCAGCATCCACTGAGTACACGCAAAGCTGTAAGGAACACTGTAAATTTTGGAGGTTTCTACCAAGGCATAACCTTCCCCAGCCTTCTTGCAGTAAATGCACCCAACCCAACAGCAAATGCTTGACAGCTTTGTTCCTGTCCCCAGGACCAAGCCAGTCTAGAGATCGAGAGACAGAAAATCAACTCGATAGTGAGGAACCTCCAGAAGGAGCTGGAGGAGAGCAACGAGGAGACCGGCCACTGGAGGGAGATGTTCCAGAAGAACAAGGAGGAGCTGCGCAGCACCAAACAGGAGTGAGCTCTCATGGATGTGCCGTGTCCGTCCCAGGATCGCAGCTGTGACTGGGAATGGTCAGCTAGTGCCGATCTGCCCAGGGGCTAGAGTGGCCATAAAGGGTTCAGCTGCTCCATTTTATCCAGTCAAACTTCTTTCCTGTAAATCCAGGAAAGGTCACTGGGGGATGTCTCTAGGGTGTCATTCCAGGGAGAATCAAGGCAGGATTCTTGGCTTGGGCTCACTGGCAGAAGCCGTGATGCGGCCGGTGGACAGGCTTACAGGTGACTGGCATTGCCGATGCAGAGCCCAGCAAGGAGGTGCACGGTGCCTCTCTCTGATCATGTCAGCATTACCCAAGGGAGGACGGGGGGTCATGTAGCTCAGGCTCGGCTGGCGTGTACAGGGCATACTGCCACCATCTGAATCTCTGCACCCCTCCTGGTGACCTTCATAGGCTTTCTTCCCATTCATCCCAGCTTCCCCCAGGGTCAGACTCCCCACGGTTCTCCCATGGGGCAATGGGGAGCCCACCTGGCACTACTTCTCTTCCTGCACGCAGGCTCATGCAGGTGAAACAGGAGCGGGAGGAGTTTGAGGAGGAGCTGCGGGAGCTGCGGGAGCGGTTCTCGGCCATGCGGGTGGAAGTGGACCAGGTCAGGAACAGCACCGTGGATGCCGGCCAAGCAGAAGCCCTGAAGAAGGTATGATGGGCAGGGCGTGGTCAGAAGGAAGGTGACTCTCTTGACTCCTAGAGCAGCTGTGTGAACTGCCTGAAGGTTGGGGCCTGGTTCTCACACATACAAACGCCTCTTCAGGCCACTCTGGTAGCAGAAAGGTGCCTTAAAATGAGCTCTCTGAGATCCCCATGGCACATGGGGCTACTGTACCACTGGTGTAACCGCTGGCATAGAGGGCAGGGTAAGGGAGTGATCAGAGCTTGCCCCACTATTCTCTGCTTCCCAGGGCCCAGGGGGTTATGGCTAGAGCAGGTCGAGAATCTTTTGCCAAAAAGCTTCGTTAGTTCTCTCTCTCCAAATGGGGACAGGAAAAACCACTTCCTGCCCAGGCCTAGCTACCACAACGCAGCGGCCTTAACGGGGACCACCGCTATGCTGGGGGTAGCAGGCTCTCTGGGAGCCTAGTCCCCTCTCTGTTAGGCCGCTGGCTACCTCGTGAGCGCCTCCAGGACACCCAGAGCTTGGGGTATGTATTCGATGCTCTTTAAAGCCTGTCAGCAACTCTCCTCCTCCTCCTCCTCCTCCTCCTGCAGGAGCTGCGTCAAGCCCAAGAGGAGCTGAGGGAGCTGGCTTCAGAGAAGCAGGCCCAGGACAAGCTGGTCCACCAGAGGGAGCGGGAGCTGGCCACCCTGAAGGGGGCGCTCCAGGAAGAGGTGGCCAGCCGTGACACGGAGGTAGAAGAGCTGAAGCAGCAGTTCCAGAAGAACTTGCAGCAACTCAGGAAGGACTACGACGAAGCTGCCAAGGCAAGAACTCAGGGTCTCCCAGCTCGGACCCCCTATAGCAGAGGACCCCCGGGAATGCCTATCCCGGCCTGACCTCAAGCCAGGCGTGCTGAGGGCTGCACACCTGGGTAACTGGCACCGGTGGGCAGTGACTAGAGCAGTCAGGGGGAGTGGGGCACAGGACTGTACCCAGGCCACAGATCTGGGACGCCTTCTGCATAGCTTGTATTGCTGCACCTTCCCCCTGAGATGGCAGCAAATCTCTGAGCCCACAATACCCCTTGGGCGTGTCTGGCTGCGTGCTGCCTCCATCTCCTTGGAGTTCCGTCATATGCTCCATTTCCCACCCCCCAGCCACCTCCCGTTCACCCAGCAAGCGAGAGGGGCTGCCTCTTGCAGAGATGCCTGCTCACTGTGCGTGGGGCCGTAGCGGAACGGGCACCCTCTGTCCAAAGAGCCGCACCTGTGAGCCCGTTGGCCCTCCGCTGGGCAGAAGCCTCTGGAGACCTGCTCCTGTGATTTAGGGTTACCATACTTAACAAATAAAAAAAGAGGACCCTCCACGGGGTCCTGGCCCCGCCCATTTCCCAGCCCTGCCCCAACTCTGCCCCTCCTCCCTCCCACTCCCAGCCACGTGAAAAGGGCTGCCCAAGTGCTACCAGCTTCACAGTTTCCCGGGCAGACCCTGCGCCCCCGGCCGGCGCTTCCCCAGCGCAGCTGGAGCCCAGGAGGGGAAGCGCCCAGCCGGGAGCGCAGGGTCTGGAGGCTGCCCGGCAAACCGTGAAGCCGGTAGCGCTTGGGCTTCGGGCAGCCCCCTTGCCTCCGGACCCTGCACCCCCAGCCGGGCACTTCCCCTCCCGGGCTCCGGCGCCGCAGGGTCCGGAGGCATGGGGGCTGCCCGAAGCCCGTAGCACTCGTCTCTTAAGCAGAGCCGAAGAGTCGGGGAGGAGCAGAGCCGCCGCGGCCAGAGGCTCTGCTCCTCCCCTGACTCTTCAGCTCTGTTTAAGAGACGAGTGCTACGG